CCTTTGTCTGATGTGTCATTGGTAAAGATGTTTTTCCAGTGTGGGCTCTTATTACTCTCTTGGCAAAGTCCTTCAAGGTGCACAGGTGTTTTATCTTCAGTAATCCCACTTGTCAATTTAGGCTTCCTCTGTCCAATAGCTTGTGTATTCCCTGCACCAGAATTCTTAGGTTTGTCCCAATTTTTTCATTGATGGCCCTAATAGTTTGGGGTTTTACCTTGAGGTCTGTGATCTACCTTCTATTTATTCTTGTGCATGGAGTGAAGTGAGGGTCTTGTTTCAATTTTTATTGCAGGTAGATATCCATTTTTTCCAGCATCACTTGTTGAAAAGAGCATCCGATTCCCATTCGATATTTTTGGGGCCCTTCTCGAAGATCAGTTGTCTGTATGCTGTTGCCTTTATTTCTGTTCTTTTCCATTGGTCTGAGTATCTGTCATTGTACCAATTCCATGTTCTTCCGACCACTGCGGCTGTACAATAAGTCTTAAGGTCAGGTAAAGCAATAAAGCCCTCCTACTTTGTCCTTCTCCTTGGGGAGTTCTCTGCTAATCCTGGGCTTCTTCCCTCTCCATATGAAGTTGGCAGTCAGTTTTTCCAATTTCTTGAAAAAAGATGTTGACATTTTCATCAGGATAGCATTAAATTTATATAGTGCTTGGGTAGGATTAACATCTTTACTACATTGGTTCTTCCAGTCCACGAGCATGAGATATTCCTCTGTTTGTGGAGGTCACTTTTGGTTTCTTCTAAGAGTACTCTATAGTTATCCTCGAACAAATCTTTTGGGGTTTTTTTGTTTGTTTTGTTTTTTGGTTAGGTATCTCCCTGTATACTTCAATTTGTGCTTGGCTATTGTGAAGGGTACTACCTTTTTTATCTCCTCTTCCATGATCTTGTCTGGTGTATATAGTAATCCAATAGACTTCTGTTTGTTGATCTTCTATCCTGCCACTCTGCCGTATTCCTGTACATATCGCTACCAGCACTCCTCTTTTGGAACTTTTAAGGTTTTCAATATATAAAATCATATCATCTGTGAATAATGGAAGTTTTACCTCTTCTTTCCCCAGATGAATTCTTTTCATGTCTTTGCTTTGCCTTATGTTGTTAACTAGGACTTCTAGTACGGTGTTGAATAAAAGAGGGGACAAGGGCCATCCTTGTATGGTCCCCTTTTCCTGTGGGAATGTTTTTGTCTTTTCTCCATTGACTACTACATTGGCGGTTGTTTATTTTAAAATATGGCTTGAATTATATTAAGGAATTTTCCTTCCATTTCTACCTCAAGACTATAACTCTTTATGGGAATAGAAAGCCTTGTGTTTCTCCCACAGAGCTGCTGGTGGTCTCGAACTGCTGACCCTGTGTTAGCAGCCCAGTGAGTAACCTGCAAATTCTTCTGTGCCTTGGTGATCTTCACATGGCACCTCTTAGCCCATATTTGTGCATTTTTGTCTCTGGATCGGATCTGTAACTTAGAAATTATTGTGTTTAAATTATTTTTTAACTTATTAGATAAATAAAAGCTTTATTAATAAAAATATAAGCTACAAAGTGCGAAGAAGCTTTAACATCAAAGTCACAGCTTCCGAATCAAAACCCAAATTCACTGCCATCGAGTCCATGCCAACTGTAGAACAGGGTGGAACTGTCCCTGTGGGTTTCCAAGACGGTAACTCTGGATGAATGTAGAAAGCTCCATCTTTCTCCCAAGCAGTTTTGAACTGCTGACCTTATGGTTAGTGGCCCAACACATAACCACTATGCCGCTAGGGCTTCTTAAGTCATCGCAAGCAGGTGGCAATCCAGAATTGACAGAGGCTGCAACCATCTGGACTCCCCTGTCATACAGGGCATGTTCACAGGTGGAGGGGGTCACCTTGTTCCCTCTCCTCACCAGGGATCACGAGAGGCCCCCCATTCAAGGGGAGGTGTACAAGCTGGTCCTTTCAGGGAGGTCAAAGTGCCCAACGTGTGGAGGGTCTCAGGGAAAGACTGTTTCTCTCTCTGGATGGGTGCCATCCACAGCAGGGGCAGAGCTGTGGTTTTTCCGGTCTGCCCTGTTATCCTCTTGGTAGAGAAGGTTCTGTTGGCTTCTGTCTGAGGGCCCACTAGTCCTTCTCGGCTTTTCTGTGGCTCTGTTGTCAGTCCCCAAAGCCTTTCTGGCAGCTCCCAGTCAGGAAGTGGAGCAGCAAAGGTTTTAGCAACATGTGGCATCAAAAACCGGAGATCTCCCATCTGCAGCTGTGACTGAAGACCCAGATCCCAGCTCCTGACCAGCTCAGGAACCACAAGGCACCAGGCTCTCCATTCTCCTTATCCGCCAAGATCAGAGTAGCTGTTCTGGATTACTCCAAGACGTGCTTACATTTGGGACACGCCTCACTGATGGGACACCCCACACTAGTAGGACACCCCACATTGGTATGGCCTCACTAACATGACATTAGATTGCATTGTGGAAAGTGATTACAATTAATGACATCAACTGATATGGGGCTTAGAATCCCAACACGTAGTTGGTGGGGGAGGGGTATAATTCATGATGAGAAGATGACCTAATGGGAAAGGGATCCTTTGATCCCAACACGGTTTCATGCAGGGGAAGTGTCCAGGAGTGGAGCGTGCTGGTTAGGGTGGGGGTGGGAGGAGAGATGCCCACAAGGGGGAGACAAAGACAATGAGAAAGCCTTGGGAAAGCACACACACACACACACACACACACTGGAGCCCTCCCCAGACATCCTAGGGAGCTTCAAAAAGAGCATGGGATGGAAAATTAAACGATAATGGAATTGTTCCATGAATGTTTTAAGCCACCTTGTGTGCATGGGCTTAGGAACCAGCCCCAGTGCAGAAGTGCCCCTCTTCTACCCAGGAGATAAATACATTTCACCACTTGTCTGTCCACCACCACCCCCGACCTCCCCCCCCCACCCCCCCACCACCTCCACACACACCAAGTTCCCTACTGCCTAACCTGAAATGGAAGGAAAACAGAAACCTAGGCTTAAGAGAATCCATGCATGCATTATGGACCCACTGTGTCTCAAACACTACTTGAGGCTCTGAAGATACACCAGTGAACAAGAGAGTCAATGGCCCCACCCTCCAGGAGACAGACACACAGTTTATCCCATGGGCCTGTGCCTGGGGCCACTGTGGGCACAGTGGCAGCCCTACTTGACCCCATCCCAGGGAGCTGGGCTGAGCCCCACAGAGGGTCGGCTTCTCACAGAAAAAGTGCTTAGCTCTTTGGAGAAACGAAGCGGAGGGCAAGAGTCTGCAGCAGCGCCACTCAGCACTCAGCAGAGCTCCTCAAAGGGTGCTCGCTGGGCCACGAGGTGGTGGAAATGCAAGCTCCCAGGCCCCACCCCAAAGCTGCGCAATCAGAATCTGTGGGCAGGGCCCAGGAATCTGTATGTTAACAAACCTTCCATGTGGTTTTGAAGCACGTCCAGTTCAATCACTGCTGGTCTAGAGACGGAGTGAGTCTCTGGGTGGTACAAGCCATCAAGGAAGTGACTGCTAGTCCAAAGGGGAGTGGCTCCTACCCACCAGAGTCATCTCAGCATAAAGGCCAGCCAATTCGCTTCCAAAAGGTCAGAGACCTAAAAGCCCTATTATAGATCGGCTCCACTGAGCCCACGTAGGGGCACCACGAGTCAACAATGACTCCGCTCAAGAATTGACAACCGGCGGGTCTCATTTTTCTTGTTTGTTGTTTTGGCGTGGAGTTTGGGTTTTGGTCTAGAGATGAGTGAGCAGGGAGCGTGGCATGGGCAGGGCTGGGGTGGACAAGGTCCCAGCAAAGCCTTTAGGGTGGCATTAAGAACTTTTCATTCGACCTGCATTTGAAAGTGGCCTCGGACTGCCCGTGTCCTGGTCATCAACGATGCAGGGAGAGCGATTGCGGACAGCCGTTTCCCGTGTTTGGAGGGTTCGGCATACCTGTCCCTGCGGTGCTTTCACACAGTTCTACTTCTCTCCTGCCAACACCTCCCGGCCCCGGAGCATCGGGGGCCATTGGGAGCCGAGAAGAATTCTGTGGTGACGGCGGAAGCCTTTCCAAGAGAGAAAGCTTCGTGGAGCACCGCTCCCTGAGCAGTGGATCATTGAAGCAGACTCCACGGAGA